GTGGAGAAGAGGAGGGGCGGCCGGGGCAGGCCGCGCCCCCCTCCCCCTCTAGTCCGAGTTGGGCAAGGAGGGGGGGCGGTGGCGCCCCCCTTTCCTTCCTCTCTCCCTCCTCCTTCCCCCCTTCTCCTAATCCAACAAGGAAAGGGAGGGAGTCCTACTCCCGGTGGGAGTAGGACTCCTCCTGGCGCGCCTCCTCCTGGACGGCCGCCTCTCCCCCCTTGCTCCTTTATATACGGGGGCAGGGGGCACCCCATAGAGACAACAATTGATTATTGATCTCTTAGGCGTGTGCGGTGCCCCCTCCACCAGAATCCACCTCGATAATATCGTAGAGGTGCTTATGCGAAGTCCTGTGTCGGTAGAACATCATCATCGTCACCATGCCGTCGTGCTGACGAAACTCTCCCTCAAAGCTCGGCTGGATCGGAGTTCGAGGGACGTCATCGAGCTGAACGTGTGCTGAACTCGGAGATGCCGTGCGTTCGGTACTTGATCGTCCGGATCGTGAAGACGTACAACTACATCAACCGCGTTGTGCTAACGCTTCCGCTTTCGGTCTACGAGGGTACGTAGACAACACTCTCCCCTCTCGTTGGTATGCATCACCATGATCCTGTGTGTGCGTAGGAATTTTTTTGAAATTACTACATTCCCCAACAATTCCAATATCCCAAAAAAATCACAATTTTAAATTTTGTTCACAAATTGGAAAATATTTTGGAATTTAAAAAAATGTTCCTGTTGCCTATTTTTGTTCACGAATTACTAAATGTTCAGGGATTTCAAAAATTCTTCTTACTTTCCAAATTTGTTCACAAATAAAAAAATATTTTTGTTTTCAAAATTTGTTCACATATCATAACATTTTCATGTTAAAAATTTGTTCACAATTCAAAAAATGTTCACATGTTTAATTTTTGCCACAAATTTAAAAATGATTGTGAATTTCAAAAAATGGTCCTGTGTCCAAATTTGTTTACATATTATAAAATGCTAATTCACAAATTCAAAAAATTATGTTCTCAAAATTAATACGCATGTACAAAAAATGTTCGAGTTTTGTAATTTTGAAAAACATTCACGTTTTCAATTTTGATACTGTTTTTAAGAAATATTTCCGTTTACAAAAGTAGTTCATACTTTAAAAAATGTTCCCGTATTCAATTTTTGTTCCTATTTATATGAGGAAAAACATTTATAGATGACTAAAATTTTGGGACGGAGCGAGTACTACATTTACATTGGCACAAGTTGGCAAAGCACCAGCCGCATCTTCCTTCTACCATTCGTCTTGCTCTGAGTTGACGACCTACACACCAAGGCCATGCCTCCATTCTCCTCCACCACGCCGATGTCGCCACTCCGCCTCCGCGCCCGCCATTCCTCACGCAGCTGGGAGCCCCACCCCGCCTTCGCCGCCGCCACGGAGCGTCAAGGAAGGTCAAGTAAGCAAGGCATGCAATCTGTTCCATGAAATGGCGCAGCAGGGCGTTAAGCCTAATGTGGTGACATATAACTCAGTTATCGATGCGCTGTGCAAGGCCAAAGCCATGGACAAGGCAGAGGTGGTCCTTCGTCAAATGATTGATCATAGTGTTGGACCTAATAGCGTGACGTATAGTAGCCTCATCCATGGATATTCCTCTTCAGGCCACTGGAAGGAGGCAGTTAGGGTATTCAAAGAGATGACAAGTCGGAGGGTTACAGCAGATGTGCATACTTACAACATGTTTATGACCTTTCTTTGCAAGAATGGAAAAAGCAAAGACGCTGCAGAAATTTTTAATTCAATGGCCACGAAGGGCCTAAAACCTACGACCGTTTCATATGCTATTCTCCTTCATGGGTATGCCACCGAAGGATGCTTAGTTGATATGACTAATTTCTTCAATTCAATGGAAAGAGACTGTATTCTACCAGACTGTTGTATCTTCAGCATACTGATTAATGCATATGCTAAATCTGGGAAGCTTGATAAGGCAATGCTTTTACACACGGCGATTTGGTGAAAGGAAAGGAATTGGTTACTGAAATGATGAACAAAGGTATACCTCGTCCTGATATTATGTTCTTCCATTCAATCATGCAGAACCTATGCACAGAAGGAAGGGTAGTAGAAGCACGGGATATCCTTGGCTTGATAGCACACATAGGTATGAGGCCTAATGTTTGCACATTTAATATACTGATTGGTGGATACTGCCTAGTCCGCAAGATGGAGGATGCCTCAAAAATATTTCATGATATGATGCCATATGGTTTAGAACCTTCTAATATTACGTATGGTATACTTATTAATGGCTATTGCAAAAACTTAAGGATTGACGATGGGCTGATTCTGTTCAAAGAAATGTTGCGCAAGGGACTTAAACCTACAACTTTAAATTATAACATTATACTGGATGGCTTATTTCTGGCTGGACGAACTGCTGCTGCAAAAGAGAAGTTTGATGAGATGGTTGAATCTGGAGCAGATGTGTGCATTGATACATACTGTATAGTTCTTGGTGGACTTTGTAGAAATAATTGCTACAGCGAAGCAATCATGCTGTTCCAGAAATTAAGCGCAATGAATGTGAAATTTGATATTACAGTTGTCAATATCATTATTGGTGCATTCTACAGGGTCCAGAGAAACCAAGAGGCTAAGGATTTGTTTGTTGCTATACCAGCCAATGGCTTGGTTCCTAATTCTGTTACCTACACCATAATGATGAGAAATCTTATAAAAGAAGGTTCAGTAGAAGAAGCTGACAATCTTTTTTTATCGATGGAGAATAGCGGCTGTACTGCCAACTCTAATATGTTAAATCTTATCGTCAGAATGTTACTGGAAAAAGGAGAGATAGTCAAGGCTGGGAATTATATGTCTAAAGTTGATGCAAAGAGCTACTCACTTGAAGCTAAAACTGTTTCGCTGCTGATCTCTCTCTTTTCAGGGAAAGGGAAATATAGAGAACACATAGGATTGCTCCCTACAAAGTATCAGTTTCGTGAAGAAGCAGCCACGGTTGTGTAGTTTGATACATGGTAAACTTTAGTTCTCCTAGGCCTGCCAAAGTATCGTTCTGCTTGTACAACAATGCATTTCCTTATGTAAGAAGAAATTCAGTATAGAAGAAGCTATCAGGATGACGCAAGGAGTACAAATCAAACGTGCCCAGAACAGAAGACAGACCTAGGCCTGCCAAAACAAAGCTGAATCCAAATTTTAACAGAAGAAGCAGCAACAAACTGAAGATGTGCAGTATGCTAGCCAAACACCTACGGGAGAGTGACAGGTGGTCGAGCCGTTTACTCCTGCCAGTATCCATGGCTTGGCCTCACATGGAATCGAGTCAACCAGTCCCTGGCGGTCTCAGGTGGCTCCACTGAAGATGCATTCATTTCTCAGCCGGTATGCTCCTTGTCGTGTGCCCTTGTGTCTGTTTCAAGAAGGTACTTGAAGAAGCTGAGCAGGAACCGGAGTTTGACCGGCTTGAGATCTACGCTGCCGAAGCCAGATTGAGGTTAGTTAATCATAACATGGTACTAGAGAGATGTTTTGTTGACTGTTGTGGTGGCTTGATGATTTACTTTGGATGATGTGTGAAGAGGCAGCATGCAAAAGTCTGAATCATATATGCTTGTGTTGTTATTTTTGCAGATCCTAGTCTTCTTTCCATGTACAAGTTGTATTGGTCCAGTTGTAGCAGTCTGTACGTTAGCCTTTTGTATGTATATGCTTGCATGGGTTATGAGGTGTACAGCCTTGGTTTAGGGTCTGCCTCCAATTTTATTTTATTTTCGATCGATGCAGCACCATGTTGAGTTTAACCTCGTAACTTGGCTTAATTAGATCGTGCTGGTGATATCGCTGAGAATCCAAATGTTGATGGCTTCAGAGTTTTTTTATTAAAAAGCATACTATGTGTTCTTGCCCTAACACTGTTGATTGGTTACTTCATCTCATCTCTTTTTTTCTGTGACAGTCTCATGGATTTTGGTGAGCTCGCCATGGTTTTCTCCTCTGTTCCTTCTTGAAGAGCCGATGGTGTAACATTTTGGTATTACAGAACAGTGTTTTTCTTCTTTCCGTAGAACCGCCGGATCCGGTTGTCTTTTTATATTCATTGTCTAGTTTATTTTCTGTTACGTGAGCTCAAGTTCAGCATGTTCTTTCATCTTCTTCCTCATAATTTTGCATTACTCACTATGCAGTGAAGGTCTTGTACTAATTTCTGAAGCAGAACCATTCTTTGAGAAATACTCCACAAAAATGTTTGTCTTGGACCTGAATCATATTTGCTCTGACCAAACAGATTGACTGATACAGTTATATCTACATATGACAATTTGAAATTAGTGTAAAATGCTTGCAACAATCAGATGCATTAAAAGATCTCCAAAAAACATTACACATTTGGGTATATATATCCATGAATATCGTTTTATGAACAATGATTTGGTAAATATTTCAGAGAGCAATATTGAAAGATCTCACATGTAAGTGTAGGAATAAACTTCCTCAAAAAAAGAAGGGTCAGTGGAAGAAGCTAACATTGTCTAAAGTTGATGCGAAGAGCTACTCATTTGAAGCTAAAACTGTTTCGCTGCTGTCTCTCTCTTTTCAGGGAAAGGGAAATACAGAGAACACATAAGATTGCTCCCTACAAAGTATCAGTTTCTCGAAGAAGCAGCCATAGCTGAATAGTTCTATACATGATATCTGTACTTAGCTCCTAGAAGTTAAACTTGAGTTATTGCTTGGCATGAGTCCATTTGCTTGTACAGCAACTGCATTTTCTATATGTATAAATAGGAAGTCAGTTTGGAAGAAGCCTTCAGGATGACACAAAGAGTACAAGTCAATTGCACCACCAAAAAAAACATACCTAGGCTTGCCAAAACAAAACTGAATCGAAACTCAAACAGAAGAAGCAGCAAATTTTGTTGACTGTTGAGGCGTAATATGTTATATGCCAAGCTCTTGATGATTAGGATGACCTGTGAAGCATGGAAAGTTTGTATCATATATGCTTGTCTAGTTATTTTTGCAGTTTCTAGTCTTTTTGCCATATGAAAAGGAGCATTGGCGCAGCGGTAAGTAGTTGCGTTGTGTTCCCGTCCTGGAAACATCCTCTTGTAGAAATGCAGGGAAAGACTGCGTACAAATGATTCAAAGTGGTTGGACGCTTCCCCGGATCTTGCGCAAGCGGGAGCTACGTGCAACGGGCTGCCCTAGTCTTTTTGCTGGTGCCGCATCATCTCCGACTGCTGGTGCCGCATCATCTCCGACAAAGTATTCCTCGAACGCTTCCGCAGCCGCCACCCGTCGTCGCTCCTCCTCGGCGTATTCGACGCCGACAACGAAGCCGGCGGTGTCCCCTCGTTTTACTCTCGTCCCTGCGACCCTGCCAACGTCTACCTCGACCCTGCCATCGATTCAGCTATACGCGCGGCCGACCTCTACCTCACCCGCCTGGAGGATCCTCCGCTGTGGTGCATCCGGGACTGTCGCAATGGCCGGCTCCTCCTCTCCAAAGCCGACGGTTCACTCTGCATCTACGGCCCGCTCTCCCAGCGGCGCGTGCTCGTCGGCCCGCGGCCCGCGCAACGATGGGAAGTACCTCGGCGACTGCTTGCTCAATGACCTTGCCTGCCATATTGTCCCCGTGGAGCAACGCGGCAAGCAGACGCAAGCCCAAGAGTCCTTCCGCATCATATCCCTGCAGCAGCAGAGCGGCTCGGTACGAGCCGTTGAGTACGGCTCCGGCACGCTCGAGTGGAGCGTCCACCAATGGAAGGCGGTTCAGTTGACGACATTGCAACCCAAGGCGATGTACGCAGCCGGCTACATCTTCTGGCGAACTGATGCCCCCGGACTGCTATTGCTAGATACAAGCACCATGAAGTTCTCAGAGCACCATGTCCCAAGTGAGATAAACTCTGCCCGATGCGCCATCGGAGAGCTCCAAGATGGCGAGGGCTGCCTCGTGTGTCTCCAAGGTCGCGGTGTTAATGTCCGCTTGGAAGTCTGGGTGCTGGAGAAGGAGGAGGAGGAGGAGGAGGTGAAAATTTGTTGGAATCTGAAACAGAACATCCTCGTGAGGCAGATGTGTGAAAAGTCCCGTGTGTGCCATGTCGATAAGGTTATCAACGGACTAGCAATGATTAGCGGCTACAATGTCTCCTATGCGATTGACATTCAGAGCATGACTTGCCTGGCTAAGTTTAACTCTGGTAGAGATGCTCATCCGTACCAGTTGTCATGGCCACATGCTGTGAAGGCTGCTGCTACTAGTGTGGTATCCCGCCATTCGGGAGCCAACCTGCCAAACCAGTAAGCGTTCAACTCTCCCAACTCCCTGTGTACTTTTATTTGTATCAAACATAATTGCAATCAGGCTGGTAACATTTATCTTCTCTTGTACATTTACAGAGAGAGTGCTCAGATTCCTGGCGACAACAACGATGGCCGAGAAGGTACCTCCGCCGGTGGATCGGAGCCTGGTAGTACTCTTCGACTCCTTTTTTGTTATTGTGAAAAGACCCACATGTCATATATTGGAGATTTTTTTTAAATGACTCAGATTTCTTATATTCGCATATCTGCTAGCATGAGTAATGTGAGATGCTTGAATTCTATGTAACATGTATTTTCAGTGTATGATAAAATGCACTTCCTGATCCAACTTCTTTCCTTTTTTTTTCTGGCTCTTGTGATCCTAGCCATTGCAGCAGTTTCACCTCAAGGAAAAGAGAGCGAGAGCAGGTGCATAAAGAAGAGGTATGGTTGTCTAGTAGGGCTGCACAATAAGGTTAAATCATCTGCTACCTTCATAAATGCTTTCCTTGATCAATATATTTACTTTGAAAATAACTAAAAGAAGAGTTGCTTATCTTAACTTTGTGCTGTACGGCAATAGTAATCCGAACATTATTGTACAGTGATGAATCGAGTCTGCATCTAGAAGACATCAGCAACCCTAGTAAGTTACTATGCTCCTTGATTCTCCACTGATGTAGTATATAACTAAAGATCTTCTCTTGAGAAACTCCACCTTGCTGCTAATTCGGGTCCTTAAAGGAATGCACATTAGTAAGTGCGCTGCAAATATTGCTAATGAGATGTAATATCTGAGATCGCATGCATCATGCTAGCAGGTTTCAAGCTTAATGGTGATGATCATGAAGCTGGTAATCTACGCAAATACGAAGTAA